CACTCGTTAAGTGCAAATCATGTACCCACTTTGATCTTACCTTGGTATATGGTGTGAAATGTTGGTCTATACCTACTATGCCATGCTGTTTTCTAGTTTTCCCAGCAGTTTTTGTCAAATAATGAGTTTTTGTTCCAAAAGCTTGGATCTTTGGGTTTAACATATACTAGATTATTGTAGTCATTTAATATAATGTAATTTGTAACTAATCTATTCCATTGATCCACCAATCTTTTTCTTAGCCAGTACCAAATTATTTTGATAATTACTGCTTTATAATACAGTTTGAGATCTGGTATGGCTACAACACCTACTTTCACATTTTTTTTTTCACTGATTCCCTCAATATCCTTGAGCTTTTGTTCTTCCAGATGAATTCTGTTATATTTTTTTCTAACTCTGTGAAGTAATTTTCCTGATAGTTTGATTGGTATGGCACTGAATAAATAGATTAATTTAGGTAGAATTGTCATTTTTATTATATAGGCTCAGCCTACTCATGAGCAATTAATATTTTTTCCAGTTGTTTTGATCTGACTTTATTTCTTTGAAGTGTTTTATAGTTGTGTTCATACAGTTCTTAGGTTTGTCTTGGCAGGTAGATTCGCAAGTATTTTATATTGTCTATGGTTATTTTAAATAGAATTTCTCTTTCTATCTCTTGCTGTTGGACTTTGTTGGCAATATATAGAAATGCTGATGATTTATGTGGGTTTATTTTGTATCCTGTAACTTTGCTAAAGATGTTAATAATTTCAAGCAGTTTTTTTTAGTTGATTCTCTAGGATTTTCTAAGTATAATATTGTTATCATCTGCAAAGAGTGATATTTTTGTTTCCTCATTGCCTGCTCTAATTCCTTTAATTTCTTCTCCTCTCATTGCTATGCCTAACATTTCTAGTGTAATATTAAATAATAAAGTTGATAATGGGCATCCTTGCTTCACCCCTGATTGTATTGGGAAGGCTCCTAGCTTATCTTCATTACAGATAATGCTTGCTGATGGTTTTAGATAAATATTACTTATCATTTTAAGGTAAGCTCCATTTATTCCTATGCTCTCTAGTGTTTTTAATAGGAATGGTTATTGTATTTTCTTGAAGGCATTTTCTGCATCTATTGAGATTATCATATGATTTCTGTTGATTTTGTTATTGACATAGTCAATTATGCTGAGAGTTTTCCTAATATCAAACCAGCCCTGCATTCCTGGTATAAATCCCACCTGGTCATAGTATATGATCCTTGTGATGTATTACTGTAATCTCTTTGCTAGTATTTTATTTAAAATTTTTGCATCACTATTCAGTAGGGAAATTGGTCTATAATTTTCTTTCTCTGTTATGGCTCTTCTTGGATTGCATATCAGCACCATATTTGTGTCATAAAAGGAATTAAGAAGGGCTCCTTTGCCAAGTTTTTCAAATAGTTTATATAGTATTGGGATTAATTGGTCTTTAAATATTTGGTAGAATTCACTTGTGAATCCATTTGGTCTAAGGGATTTTTTTCTTAGGAAATTCATTGAAGACTTGTTCGATTTCTTTTTCTAACATTGGGTTATTTAAGTATTTTATTTCTTCTATTAATCTGAGTAATTTATATTTTTGTAGGTATTCATCTGTTTCATTTAGATTGTCAAATTTATTGGCATATAATTGGGCAAAATAGCTCCTAACAATTGTCTTAATCTCCTCTTCTAACTTTTCCAGAATTTTATTCACCTCTTACTCAATTCTGCGTCATCTATAAAATGATCTGGAAAAAGAAATAGCAAACTATCTTTTCCACTAAAATCCCAAGTGGGGTCAGGAAGAGCCAGACATGACTGAAATGACTGAACCAACAACAGCTTATGAGTCAACTACAAGGAATGATTAAAGAGCATGTGATACAGCCAGGGAAAATAAAGGGGAGGTAGACCAAGTTTCAGCACTTTTCAAGGAAAAAGGGTCAGAAAAACAAAATGGCCACTGGCATAGAGCCAGCTCATTTTTCTGACTGTCCTCAACCCTTGTCCCTGTTTTGTTCTGGCCACACCTCTCACTTCTTGCTGCCACATACTTTCACTGCTTCCATTGGGGTCTGTTCGTGTCCAAAAGGAGTGACCTTTCTCTTAAAGACTTATCCTGAAAAAAAAACACTTGTTGAGTGTTTTTACTTACTTACTTATACTGCCTCTGTGTCAGTGACTATTTTTTTTCTCTCACTCCTCTTTTATTTTTGAAAAGCCCTACTCCATCTCCTTCTTTTAATCAACTCCCCCATAGCTGATCTCCATTCTGCCAACCCATCCACTTTGGCTCTTCCCATCATTTCCTCAGTTTCAAAAGCTAATGGGTATTGCTAAGGGGATGATCCTGCCAGCTGTGAAGGAGAGTCAAAGCATCACCATAACTATCACCATCTCTCCTTGTTTCTACAAATGCCTCATACTCACTATTTCTTACAAAGTAGAAGTATTCCAAGACTTTCACATATTATAGTTTATTCAATCTCCCTGATCAATGGATATCTACCTCGTTCCTCTTTTCACACTTTTCTTTGTTGCTACAAAAATCATTCTGGAATTTAAAAAAAAATAGAATCATAGATTTACAACTGCAAAAGACCCTAGGAGTCATCTAGTTCAGCCTCCTCATTTCCCAGATGAGGAACCTGAGTCAAAAAAAGATGAAGTAGTTTGCTTATGGTCACACAATGAATAAGTAGCAGAGGTGGGTTTTGAATGAAGATTCCTCTGATTCCAAATCTCTTTCTATTGCTCCATACTGTATCTCTTTGCACCTTTCTGGAATGTTGGAATGACATTGAAGAAACTCTGGGCTTCTGATATCACTCTTGTTCCTCATGATTCCTCAAAGATTCACAACGAAGTAGCTTTTTAATTACATCTACACACAACTGGGATATATTTCCCTGGTGATAGTGCATTTAAACACATTTAAAGTGATTAGAACACAGCTAAGGAATCTAAGAGAAGGACTTGATGGAAAACAGATATGTTCCTTGGAGGGATGCAGCCTATGGAAATACTCATCTTCAGAGATAGCAGCCATAGATATCCATTGGCAGAGTAGCTAATCCATGTTTAGAGAAGGGAATCAAATCCAGAAAAGGAAGGAACTACATGATTTCCAGAGATGGCAGCAACTAGAAGCAATGGTGGAGCAATACGAATTCCTAGATGAAGCTTCCCAAAAAGAAGAAAAGATTAACTTGAATTTCAAAAGCAACATTATTGGAGAGAAATGGGGAAATGAAATGACCTCTACAGAGAGAAGGAGAACAAGAAAGGTCAACCATGAAGTAGTTTAGCAATATGGACTCTTTGCTATATAATTATTGCAGGTTAGTTGGCTTGTACTTCTCCAGTAGGAAGAGGATTGACATTCTAAGAACTCATCTATTTCCCATCAGATGAAGTCTCAACTACGGTATGGTACTTCAAATAAGGAATGCTATGGTCATCTCCACTGGAGACTTGATGCTCAGAGGAGGAAAAGAGAGTTAACTTGAATGTTTATGGGTTCCTGTCAGTTTTCTGAGTATTTTTTATTTTCTGTGGAGTGAAATAAAGTGTTGTGTCTTCTATTGCTAACTTGACAGTTACATGACACTTCTTTCTGAAAAGAAACTGAAGACATACATATAAATCTACAGAGACCTGGACATAAGATACATTCTGGGGTTCCTAAGGAAAACACTGGTAGGGAGTGTGAGGGTCAAATAAGCCAATATTCTGAGGTTGCAAGGTTTACACTGGGTCATACCATGAGACAAAGGATGTTTGAAGAGGTGCCTCTAAGACTGAATCATGTCTGGGTAAATCCAGAGCAAGGGATACTAGAACATGGATTATATATGTTCTCATGCAGGTATTTGAAAAAAATCAACAGGGCCAAGGACAGAGCCCCAACATCTTCCTTTAAATATCTCCTTTCAACTTGATCTTTGTCTAGTTCAAAAGTCACCTAACCAAATTATCATCTAGTCTAAGTATTTCCATTTTATTCATCTGATGGTACATGGTAAATGCTTGAAAGATATTGTCAAATACTTTGTAAAAATCAAGGTGTTCCATTGTGATTTCTTCACAATTATTCTAGTAATTGTCCAAAAAAGCCTAAAAAAAATTGAGATTAGTACAGTGTATATTCTGAGAAAAAACTATGCTGGCTGAATGTGATCACCACTTTCAAAAACCATTATTTTAACAACGCCTTCTAGAATTTTCTAGGAACTGAGTTTCTTATTGGCCTGTAGTTACATGTCACCCACCCTCAGATGCACAGAGCTTGAATTCACAAGCTGAGGTTCCTAAGCTGGCCTGGTAATAATTTCTAAACTCCATTCAACTTTGGTTTTTATTTCTTCAAGATCTAGAATTTGTCCTAGGACAATACCCCTTCTGTTTAGGGGTAGAAACATGAACAGAGTGACTCATAGAACCCCCAGGAGCCCTGAGTAAAGGAATCTATTACTAAACCAAACCACAACTTCCTTCTTGTTCTGTTTAGATATGGTCAGATAATATTCCCCATACCACTTTAATACCAAGACGTTGGGCTTGTAGAGTGGGGAGACTGAGGACACTGGTGCTCTCTCTTCCTGCACCTTTTTCTCTTCCTCATCCTTCTCCTCCTCCCTCCTTCAAATATCTATACCATCACAAGTTTATCCTGCAAGAGCATAGACCACCAGAGAAACCCTCAATTCTCCTGTAAAGAAACTCCCATTCTCTCCACTCAGTTAACTCTCACAGGTATTAATATTTGGAATGCCCATGGAAATTTCTTTATCATTTAAAAGCTCTTTATCTATGAAAAAGTTAAAAGTAGGAGAACTGACACAAGATGGTAGGGAAGGGAAACGTGGCAGGTGTGTGGGGTGGGTGGGAAGAAAGAGGTGACCTTCTGCTTTGCAAACACTTTCAATACCCCCACAAGAATATAAAAAAAACTGAGGGCCTCCATCCAAAAGTCAACCAAACTCTGTCAACATGAACCCTCTTCTGATCCTGGCTTTTGTTGGAGCAGCTGGTGAGCCCTCCTAATCATCTTAGAACCCTTACTACCTCTCGCCTGAAGAACATTCTGTCCATCCTTTCAATCTATCCTTCTATCTTCTTCAGTTATTGCTCTTCCCCACTCCCCCCACCCCCATATCTGTCTAGTTTGTCTCTTCACCTACCAACCTTTCTAGCTTCTTTTTCCAAGTCAATCCCAACTTCATTCACCTCTGTCAGTCCCCAATATGCACAAGGATAAGATCTTCTGGTAAGCAAACCTCTGCATGCAGTGATAGAGCTGGAACTATGTGCAAATGAAACTTCTGGGGGAACAAACCAGGAAGGAAGGAAACAGGAGAAAGTGAGAAAAATCAATGGGTGGGAAAACAATAGGGTCAAAGAAAAGAGAAAACCAGTGAATGAGGAGGCTACTCTGAATAAGAAAGGAAAGGAGACTGGATAAGACAGGATCACATTCAAAGTAATGAAATGTGAGCTTCCTAAAGGAAGAAAATATTTCATTTTTATCTTTGCATACTCCAGATCTAAGAAGAGTAGGTACTTAATTAATGATTGTTGATTGATTCTACTGACTGTGAAAATAAGAATATTCTTCCCTGTTTTTCACCTAGGGAGGTAGAATGGAGGAGAGCCTGTGAAAAATAAGATAGAGCCCAATGCAGGATGCAGCTTAGGGAGAAGCTACAAGAGGCTGATATGACATGAAAGGAAGGGCAGAAGAATGTCCAAGAGAGTAGAGGACCCTGTCATCTAGATGGGACTTAAAAGAGTTCTTAACAGAACCTGGATAAGTGAAGTCGTATTTACTCCTTGTCATTTTTATATGCTTATGTATGATTCTGGGGCCCCTCTCAGACTGCCCGTTTTTTAAGTCTTGAAGAATGAGAGAAAGATAAACAAGGAAGAGAGAGAGAGGCAGAGAGAAAGAAACAAGGAGAGAAACAGAGACAGAGACACAGAGACATAATGAAAGAAATAGGAACAGAGAGACATAGAGAAAAACAGATGGGGACACAGAGCTATTGATTATGCTAACCATGGTCATGATAGCAGTGATCTTCAGAGTTTGAAAGGACTTTGTAGAAGATAAATTCTAGAAATGACCCCTAGGGCTTAGACTTCACATGCTGCTAAATTATCTTCTCTAAAATTTCCCCCCAAGTTGCTTTCTCCACTGATGATGATGATAAGATCGTTGGGGGCCATACCTGTGAGGCAAACAGCCTCCCCTACCAAGCGTCCCTGAATTATTTTGGCCAACATATCTGCGGTGGCTCCCTCATCAATGATCAGTGGGTGGTGTCAGCTGCTCATTGCTACAAATCGTAAGTGATAGGACTGGGGCTGTCCCCAGGGTGGGTTCTACAGCCAACTAGCCATGGTACTTTTTGGAGCCCTCATAGAGGACAATGGGCCCAATTTGGCTTGAACAGAAGAAATTCAAAGAAGTTAGAGTCATCATCCACACTGCAGACTGAGATAAAAAGGAGCAAGGTTAAAGGTACAGTGGAAAGAAGATAATTCCTATATTAAGCATGGTGTTACATAGCTCAAAATGAGTAATACACAGTAAGCAAACCCCCAGAGAGCTGGGAGGAATGCACAGTTTTCAAATGTCTAGGAGGAATGTTTCATTCCTTTATGCTACCCTATCACTAAGGCAAGAAGTGGGGAGGTTGCAACATCTACACCCATCCTTTGCATTTCCCCATACAGCAGAATTGTAGTCAGTACTACTGGATGCAGACACACACACACACACACACAATTCCACAACATATGTTATTTATATTAAATTTGAAGAGATCCAAGCTTTACAGAATCCTAGGTAGAAGGAATACATTATTTATATTACATTTAAAGTGATACAAAATCCTAGGTAGGATTTCTACCCATTTCTTAGAACAGAGTACTCGTTGCTGTCACATCCTGTATTGAAAATAATTTTCTTCATCAGTCAAATACAGGTGAGACTGGGAGAGCATAACATAGAGGTCCTTGAGGGAAATGAACAGTTCATCGATGCAGAAAAGATTATCCGCCACCCAAACTACAACAGGAAGACTGTGGATAATGACATCATGCTGATCAAGCTGAAAACCCCAGCTGTCATCAACACTCGTGTGGCTACCATTTCGCTGCCCAAGTCCTGTGCAACTGCAGGCACTGAGTGTCTCATCTCTGGTTGGGGCAACACTCTGAGCTTTGGTGGTGAGTAACTTTGCCTTGTCCCATACCTTCGCATTAGGTCAACACCTCCTGACCTTAGGTCAGTTTCTCTCTTCTTTCTGTTTTCTATAATATGCCTTTATCTTTCCTACCCTTTTCTGATCTCAGGAAGCCCATGACAGAAATAAATACTTCTTGGACACTGAGAGCAAGTAATGTAGAAAAACTTCAAAGATGTTTTTCCAAAACATTCATTTCTTCTTGACTATCACACTAACACTAGCCTCTCTCCAAAGTACTTTCCTGTCACTTCCTACTTCCCATTAAATGTTACGTTGTTGAAAAGTAGAAACTTTATGAAAGAGTTTGGGGAAAGAGTAAAATTAGTCAAAATGATATCCAGAAGCATTTAATAGTCAAGTTTCAAAGATGGAGAGACATTTTCTAATTTTTTATTTCACTGGTCTCAGGCATTCTAGTCTCACTTCTGATTCACCTCCCTTCTCTGTTTAGATCTATACCCTAACACCTGCTGTTCAGACAAAGCTAGTTTCCTCTCTTTTGGGAGCATCTAGGTGGCACAATGGATAGAGTGCCAGGCCTAGAATCAGGAAGACTTATCATCCTGAGTTCAAATCTGGCTTCAGACACTTACTAGCTGTGTGACCCTAGGCAAATCACTTAACCCTGTTTGCCACAGTGTCCTCACCTGTAAAATGAACTGGAGAAGGAAATGGAAAACTACTCCAGGATCACTGCCAAGAAAACCCCAAATGGAGTCATGAAAAGTCAGAGATGACTGAAATGAATAAAAATTCTTAGGGTCACACAGCTAATAAGTGTCTGAGGCCAGATTTGAACTCAAGAAGTTGAGTCTTCTGAATCCAGACCTGGCACTCTACCCACTGCACCACCTAGCTGCCTTAGTATCCAGGGTAATGTACTAGAAACCCATTTTGTAATTTTATAGAAGTCCATTTTCTATTTCTAGAGGCACATGCTAAATTTGTCAAAAATTTGACTGCCTTAAATAAACAATAATACTAAAATTCTATTTCCAGTGGGAATAAGGCAGGAGCATCTTATTGCACCTCAGAATTTGACCTCATACTAATATTCACTCATCAAACACATTCAGGTGACTATTGTATACAAGGTGTTGTAGAATCCACATGGACATGAATAAACTGCGTTCTTCCCTGAAGGAGGTTACATTTGAGTAGGGCTAAAGATAGAGCCTGGATTAGTGATTTGACTGCAGAAGAGAGCTCCACAGAGAGATGACCCCCTTCTATCACTGCAGAGCAGATCCATCTCTGAAATTTAACAGTCTTAGAGAGAATTGCTTACAACACTAAGAAATTAAGAGGCCTGCCTCATGTCACATAGCCTGTATGTGTCAGAAACAAGATTTAGATGCAGATCTTCTTGGTTCTAAGGCCATGTCTCTATTCATTAGGCATCACTGCCTTTCTAGTACAAGAGATGAAACAATGACACAAATGACCATCGTATAGAGAAGTATGAGATGTATAATGAGAAATATCTGGGAATTATGGAAGGTCAAAGGAAGGAGAGATACAAAGTATTTTCTCTTTTCTGTACTAAAGTTCCCAAGTCCCTTTCGCCCAACTCTGATCTTAGGATTTAGCACTCTGTAAGGTAAGCTGTGCTTCCTTCTTTAGTCTGACAACTGCTCTGATCCTCCTCCAAATCCCATTCTCTTCACAGCTGACTACCCAGATCTTCTGCAGTGTTTGAATGCTCCCATTCTGTCTGATGCCCAATGTAAGTCCTCCTATCCTGGTAAGATCACTGAAAACATGGTCTGTGCCGGCTTCCTAGAGGGTGGCAAGGATTCCTGCCAGGTAAGGCTCTGCCTTTCCATAAGTGGAAGAAAATAGCACTTTCATTAACCCCAACAGAGATTAGTGTTAAGAGAAAGGTCAATGTCTCTGAAAAGAAAGAAAAGAGGAAGGACGTCCTCACCAGTACCTTCTCAAACATCTCCAGATGAGTTGAAGGTGGGGCTGAATGGGAATAGCCCTAAAGAACTGGAGGAACAGGAATGGTCAATGGAAGATGATGTTGCAGAAGGACTAGATGTCCATAGAGTCAGGGATTGGGCTGGATGACCTCTGAGATTTCTTCCAAGTCTGAGTCTATGACTCCTAGCTTCAGACTAAGGTGTGGGTTGCAGTCTCTTAGTTTCCCTCTCCTCACTCTTCCATGTTCTCCATTCCCAGGGTGACTCGGGCGGCCCTGTGGTGTGTAACAGACAGCTCCAGGGTATCGTCTCCTGGGGCAATGGTTGTGCCCTGAAGAATAAGCCTGGTGTCTATACCAAAGTCTGCAAGTACTCGGACTGGATTGAAGCAACTATTGCTGCCAACAGCTAAAGGCACCTAAGCCCTGTTTCTGCCCCTTCCTTTGGTATTCGGTGTTGGGACATGATGCCAATAAAATGATGTTCTATTACTTGCTCTTTCCTTTGCTTGAGTTTCAATTCTTTTTTCTTCTAAGGAAATGGGAATGCTTTTGGACCAAAATGTGGCAATACAGCACAGCCCGATGGCAAACTCACCCCTCCAGAAGTCAATTCATGTAACTCTATGTAGATAAGACAGTGGCTCTCTCTGAGACAGGAATATTTCCCCTTGGTTAAAAAACAAAAACAAATGTAATAGACCTATTTTTTTTTCCATTTCAGTTGTACAGAGGGTTAATTTTAGCATCAATCCTTCTTTATCCCCAGCTACTGAGGAGTTAGTGGTATTAAAATCATGCCAGGTTATCATAGACAAACTGGTAGACATCTGTAAAGGAAGCATATGGGGGTATGGTTGTGGAGGGGTTATCTACCTCAACTGTTTCTTCCTGAAACTATTTCCCAAAGTGATGTCTTTGAGCCTCTCTAATTCATCCTCAACATCTTCTCCCTTTTCAATTTTCTATCAATTTATTAATTCAAGAATCATTTTAGTGACTACTGCTAGACCCTAGGCTGGAGGGTAAAAATCATTGCTACAACATGATCCTCGGCCTGTAGAGCTTATAGTATAGTATGGAGATAAGAAACAAATGCAGGAAAATAAAATATAATATAAGTACCTTTGAGAGTTGCAGAATAAACTACTTGAATGTCTAAAGTTGTGTGGCACTGAACAAGACATTGACCTTTCTCAGTCCTTTGATTTTCTCATTTGTAAAGTGGGAATCATAATAGCACCCACCTACAGGGTTGTTAGAAGGGCAATGTGCATAGTGTTTTATAAACCTTAATGTGCTATATAAATGTTAGCTATTATTATATTACTACCACCTGTGAGGATGAAGGAAGGTTTCCTGTAGGAGGTGATAGTTAAAGTAGGCTTTAAAGGGAAGTCATTCAGGAGGGAAAAGGGAGAGAAAGAACAGATGTTTCAGGGATCTAATGGTTTCTCCTCCCCATCTCCAAGTGCTTTAATTCCAAGGCTATGAGACTCCAAAGGACAATTCCCACCTCTGAAAATAGGAATAGTGACTGGAGATTTTTTAGCCTGGTGGTGATGAATTGGTAGAGCCAGGAGGTTGAAGTATTAGGAAAGTAAGTTCTGGAGTTTCTAGGAAGGCAATATAGAAAAAGAGGGGTAAAGAACATGAGGGACTCATGAGAGACACCTTAGTTCCACGAAAAGATAAGAAAACAAAGAAAGACTGCAAAATACATGAGTGATATAAAAAAAATAATGTTAGACCTAGTCAGAAGGGATCTGAGTGGGGCAGCTAGGTGGCACAGTGGATACAGCACCGGCCCTGAATTCAGGAGGACCTGAGTTCAAATCCGGCCTCAGACCAAACACTTGACACTAGCTGTGTGACTCTGGGCAAGTCACTTAACCCCAATTGCCAAAAAACAAACAAACAAAAAAAAAAAACAAAAAACAGAAGAGACATGGGTTCGATCCCTGATCTGATATTTATTATGATATAATAAGGTATGTGAATCTGTATATGCCATTTAAACTGTCTAAACAATATGATTTTGAGAAAACATTGTACAAACTTCAAAATACTACTTAAATGTTAGTTGTTATTGATAGTTGTTGGAATCTGAGAAGAAGACATTATTTTTGGCCACCCATGGAAGGATAAACTCAGCTTAAACTGAGAGAGAATATAGGCTTTCCAGAGAGCCAGGCAAAAGAAATCCTGGACTCAGAATGGACTGGAGTTAGGGCATGAGGCTGGAAGAATATATTCAGTCTGAATGAAATCAGTGACATGTTTCCAAAGCCAGACAAAGCAAACATCTACTCATCTGTGTTCATCTTATTCGTCACCTTACCTTGTTTGTAGTTCTTTCTTCTCCGTGGATCTTTGTCATGCTGAAGACTACAGAGATTGGATGCTTGGGTGGGGGAGTGGGAGCAGGAGAGAGGGCATATAGAAATGGCTGCATTCCTGGAACCAGTGGCATGAAAGGGACCCCCAAGTCCTTCATTAATGACAGTGGAGATGGATTACTCATGAGTAGCTTCATCTTACTTCTCTAAGACTCTCCTCCTACTCGTCCACAGTGTCTATTGTTTCCCATTCCTCTCTGTGTGACTCTCTTCAAAGCATTCATATTTTTGGTGATATAGCAGGCATAGTCAAACACAACCCTAATCTTCACATATCATAATTGCACAGCATGTTTGGTATGAGGAACCCCACACACAAGAAGAAATAAATGATGATTTCTACAAGGATGACATGGCTCTCTACCCAGGACCCTTCAGTTATGTGGTTTGGGTGCTATTTTCTTTAAGCCTAAGGAAATAGAGCAGGCCACAGTATTAATCATGTACCAAGGGAGTTTAGTTAGCTGAGTGCAACATCTGAATTGCCCAACAAATGCCAGTCTACTTGAACTACTAGCGTGGGCTTTGTCTACTCTCTAATGCATGTAATGAGTAGCTTCTCCAGTGTCCACAGGGAGAACAGAAAACTCTACATTGCCAATCCGCTGGGGCCACAATGGCATAAGAACATCTTTGACTTATCTCTCCCTGGCAAGGTCCTAATTTAACCCTGGAGATGACTTGGAACCTTGTTCAAAATATTAAAATATAAAATTTGCTGTTTATAGTTAGCCTAGGCCCACTGATGGATTATATTTTCTTATACCATTCCCCAGTGTATTCATAGACTCAGAGATTTACCATAGTTTATTCAGAGAACAAAGTAAAAAGGAAGCTAGACCAAACACTCTTGCATGGCTAAAATTGCCTTTAACCATCTCCTTTTCCTTGCCCTGTGCCCATTTCCCTCCTAGATTTTTTGGCGAAGATGGGGAACAATCCATACCACACATGAGCACTATTTCTATAAAGGAATGGATGGAACTGGTATGAGCTACATGTTTTAAAATCATGAACCAAAAAGGACAAAGCTGTTTTGCTGACCTCACCAGTTGAACAGAACTCATAATACCCAGCATTCTCTGCTTCAAGATCAGGTCTCTTAACTGTGCTGGCCTCCCCAGTACCACCTTTTACCTCACTCCCAGGGCCTCCTTTAGATACATGGCAATAATGGTAACTGCCAAAACTTTGTTTGTTTTTCTCTAGCTCTGGTAACAGTTTCCATGCCTCTCTGCATTATCTCCATTAACCCTATCTGACCCCAAAAGTCCAAATGCCAAAGGAATAAAAAGTATTAATATCATTATTTTTGTCCTATTGATTAGCTTCCTCCCCAAAACATGAAACTGCTGCTGCTATGTTCTTTTCATCCTAGACACAGTTGTGGTAGACTCATTGTTGGTGATGTGTCTGACCATTAAATTTCTTCTATTGTTTTTTGTGGAAATTATCCTTAGCCTCAGTACCTCCACAGATTTGTAAAAGGTAGTGCAGACTCATTAAACTACAGAATAAATAGTCTATCTATCCCTATTATTGTAGATAAATTCAGGGATTCTTTCAGTCATTCAGTCAATTGTATCTCACTCTTAGTGACCTGATATGGGGTCTTCTCCACAAAAATACTGGAGTGGTTTGCTGTTTCCTTTTCCAATAAATTAAGGCAAACAGTGGTTAAACAACATGTCCAGGGCCACACAGATCATGTTTGAGGCAGGATTTGAACTCAGGTCTTTTGGACTCCAGGCCCAGAACTCCATCCACTGAACCATCTAGCTGCCTCCTTTGGATAATTTAACTAAAGTTAAATTAAGTGATACTATTCATCTGTGATGAATAGTACATAGGATATAATTCATCTGTTAATGATAATTCAGCTTAGTTATAGTTATGAGCAGCTAGGCGGTACAGTGAATAGAGCACTGGGCTTATAATCAAGAAGATTCATCTTCATGAGTAAAAATCCAGTCTAAGATGCTTACTAGGTGTCTGGTCCTGGGCAAGTCACTTGACATTCATCTTAGTTCTTCATTTGTAAAAATGAGTTGAAGAAGGAAATAGCAAACTACTCCAGTGTCTTTGCCAATTTTTTTTTTAAAAATCCAAATGGGGTTACAAAGACAGACACAACTGAAACAACTGAACAACAATTAAATCAGCTTAGAGCTCATTTGCAACATTGATGGATAAGGAACCATTTTCCTATTATTATCTTGAAACTCCACTGTCTAGTTTCTACACCTTCTGGGACAAACAGAATATTATTTATTATTTACCCCTTAGACATGACAGGGACTACTTCAGCAGGTGCCGGGGCAAACTGAATTGCTGAGGTTAACTATCATGTATAAAATTAACTCATCTTGTTTTTCCTTATGAAGCACATGATATCAACAGGGTCATGGCATTGGGAACCATTTCTTTGGGTTCCTCTGGCATTATCTCCAATAATCTTGCTCTCAAATGTCACATGCAAGTATTCCCATCTTTCATTACTGCCCACTTCCCATGTCCTCCCCCAACCTCCACTGCAATCTGGAGTCTTGAGTTAAAATCCTACATTTGCCACATTCTGTCTGTGTGGGTAAGTCAAAGCCTTACTGAGCATTACTTTCCTTATCTATGAAAAGGTATAATAACATTTGCCTTGCCTGCCATATGGGATTTTTAAAGGTTCAATGAAATAACATTGGTAAAAATACTTTGAAAAGCTAGAACATTAAAGAAAAATATGTTTATGTTCTTATCAGTCTCACTATTATTTTGTAGGGATGATCCCTGAAATGAGGCACAGAATCACACAATTATAGAATTCAAGGGTTGTAAGTGATTCACTTTAGTTCCTAATTCAGCATGCAGATTGTTCTCCTTTATAGAGAAAACATCAACAAAATAGGGATTATGTAGCTTTCTTTCCTTTGACCATTGTGATTATCCCACCTACCCGTATTTTGATCTTTCTATTTAATTCGACATAGGTTAAACACATCAACACTTGCACATGTGCATACACACACACACACACACACACACACACACACATACATACATATACACATACACACAACCTTTGCCCCAGTTCATTCTGGC